AAAAAAAATTTTGTTTAATTTATTAGATTAAAAGGTGACATGCTAGTAGTACATACATAAATTTCAGATGAGTTCTACTTACTAACTACAATGAGTTCTACTGTAAATTTTTCTTACCTAAATCCTTAAATTTTAAATTCGCTGCTGAAAGGCTTATAATTTGTGCTGCTTCACTGGGCTTAAGCTTAACCTCCGACTCGATTTTCAGTTCAAATTCTTGAGCTTGAGCTCACCCTTTTAGTGCAAAAATTGAGTCTGAGCTTAAGCTCACTTTTTATGCATAAGACCCACTGTCTCGCTGTCTTCACGCGAGTTAATCTACAAGGAATTAAGAATAAACAATTTTAGTTTAATTTATTAGATTAAAAGGTGACTGGTTGTTAGTACATAAATTACATAAATTTCCACTTCTGTATTTAAATATAACTCTTAAATTTAAAAGTCGCGGCTGAAATACGCCAAAATAGTGCCGAAAATCAATCGATTTTGCTTAAGGTGCCGGCTGCTTTCTAATGGGCAGAAAATGGCACAATGCACACTCATTTTCCATCACTGATATGTACATAAATTTCCACTTTTTATTTTTCTTAGCCAACACTTGAATTATGAGTCGCATGTGAAAGTATTCTGGTAAAATAGATAAAGCACAAAGTTTATAGCTCGGATTTGTGGAGTCTTTGTCGTAGAATTAACCATATTTTTATAAAAAATTTGCGATAAATAAAATAAATAAAAAGCAGATGCCCGTTTGCAAAAAAATTGCTGACCCTAAAATTTATTGATTCGACTGTACAGAAATTTCCACTTCTTATTTTCCTTGCAAACGCTTAAATTATGAGTCGCAAATTATTTCACATTACATACTTACAACACAACCTACTTTAAACTCACTCAAAAAACGTTTGCTATAAATTTCGAACATGTATGTACGTAAATACATACAAATGTAACAAACACGAAGCCAACATTCACTTTTATAACTAAATATAACCTTTAGCTTAATACTACTATTAATAATAACTCATAATATAGATAAAGAGCACTCACCAAATTTAATATATAGCACAATTTTATCTCGAAAGTCCAAACTTTTTTATGCTAAAGCAATTTCACTTCTTAATTCAACTTAGATAGGGATGTTAAAAGACATCGATGTATCGAGCAATAGCGATGGTCGTGGCTTCAAGCATCGATGTTCGTCGATGTTTTTATGAATCGGATTTCAAATCAAAACATCGATGTTTACTAATTTTTACTAATATTTTACCATTTCATTTTGTGTGCGTCTTAAAATTTTAAGGGAGCGTATGATAAATAAGTACTTTTATAAAAATCCTAAATTAATAAATGTACATATGTAAATAAGATAAGAAAAAATCAGCAAGCTTTCCTAAACACATCGGTAATAACATCGATGTTTTAATTCGATACGTCGAGCTACTATCGATGTAATTTTTCGAAACATCGATAATGTTATTGCGATTTAGGCCAATCACAGCGCATCTTCTATTTTACAACGCCGAAGACGACCTCTGGAAGTGGTATTCTTCAACATAATAGCGTACTAACGCTAGACAATGGCCATCAAAGGCCCTACAGATGCATTGATTTATCGGCCAACCGGTTGGCCAACCGATACAACTTGGTGATAAATAAGCCGTGTGTGGGCAAGTTGGCAAACCTTCGTCAAGTTGTTCGTCAGGTTGTAGAAAAATCAATAATTTTTGATTTTTGAGGCAGATTGTCAACTTTGATTGACAAGTTGGCAACCGAAAATGCGATTTAATTTTTTTAAAGGCGCATTAACGTTGACATGCATTTTTTGGTTCGTTTCGCTAGTGGAAATGCGTATAATTTGTGATACGCCCCCTTTTTGTCTTGATGCTA